ACCCCCCCGGGGAGGAAGCATCCACAGCCTCCCTGGGCAACCTGGGCCAGTGTCTCACCACACTCACTGTGAAGAGCTGCTTCCTTAAATCTCCCTCTTCCAGTTGGAAGTCATTACCCCAGGTCCTATCACTACAAGCCCTTGTAAAATGTCCCTCCCCAGCTTTCTGACAGGCCTCTTCAGGTACTGGAGGCCCCCAGAAGGTCTCCCCTGCTGGAGCCTTCTCCTCTGCAGGCTGCCCAAGCCCAACTCTCTCCTGCTGGGCTCCCAGCAGAGGGGTTCCACCCTCGGGTCATTTCTGGGGCTCCTCTGGCCCCGCTCCAGCAGGTCCCTGTCTGTGCTGTGCTGAGGACTCCAGAGCTGCCCCAGGGGGGTCTCCCCAGAGCGGGGCAGAGGGGCAGGATCCCCTCCCTGCCCTGCTGCCCACACTGCTGGGGGAGCAGCCCAGGATCGGAGACACCTTTCCCTTGCCCTGCCCCAGATATGTGCCACTTTTTCTCATGCCCTGCAGACACTGGCTGACAGCTCTGAGGTGCCAGTGGTGGCCACGGGCAGAGACCCCTCAGCAGAGGGTGAGGGTCTTGTGAGCACTCCTTGCACACAGAGGCATCGCCCCTCAGCCGCAGGGCACCCCGGGATGCCCCCGGCTCCATCGGGTGGGATTAACTTTGTTCTCTTTGACGGCAGTCCCCGCACGAGGCTGTGCTGGAAGGTCTGGGCTACGTCCTCTCGCAGCTCCTCCAAGCCAAGGAGGCCCCCACAGAGATCGTACCGTGAGTCCCAGCGTCTCGGCCCCGCGTCAGGATGGGCCCTGGGGCCACCTTTCCCATCCCAGTGATATTCATAGTTCCGAGCAGAATCCCACCAGAACTGGGGGGGGTTTGTGGTAGATCAGGGTGCTGTTCCCTCAACCTCACGTGAGCAGACAGCTCAGGGATTTTCATAAAGGGCAAAGCTCCTGCTGAGCTCCCAGGGAAATCCTGGCGCTGCTTCTCCTGCCAAGGAAGAGATCAGCTTGACAGCCTTCAGTGCCAAAAATGTGACCTTGGCCAAGGTGTGCTGAGCTTGTACTGGGCCTTACTGGTGCATGAGGCTGCAGCCTTAGGGAAGAGTCTCTTCCAGGGTGGGTTTTGGAGCGTGCGACCCCCAGGGCGGGGGTGAGCAGCTCTCTGCTCAGGGGCTGGGGCTCGTGTCTCCCCGTCAGCTCTCTGTGTTTCCACTAACTCTGCTGTTCTCACCCCAGCTTGGTCCTGGACTCTGCTCTCCCCCAGCACATGCTCCGACTGGTTTGCTCAGGCTCGTCTGGGGTGGGAGCAGCTGTGGAGTTTGCATGGTGTCTCCACTACCTCGTTTGTAGGTAAACACACTTTCCTTCTCATTCTGAGTTCTCTGAGAGGCATGAAGGCTGAGGGTCCCGAGTGGCCCTGGATTGCCCCCCCTTGCCTTCAGAAGGCGATTTCTGCACTGTCCTGGGTGTTCCTGCTCTGTCCAAGCACACTCCTCCTGGTGGCAGGACCACCAGCTTGCTTTACAGAGCACTAATGGGATAAGATGGAGGATGTTCCTAGGCCTCTGAAAACCCTTCCCCACAATAGCCTCCCCACACCTGGAGTTGTCCCTTGTGCTCCCTAAGGCAAGCTCCTGGAATCCTCACACTTCTGGGGCCGGCCCAGTGTCACCCGGCTGGCCTGGCTGCTGCCAACCATCTCCATCTGCCTTGGCACGGTCCCTCCAGCACCATCTCCCAGCAGCCCCAGCAGAAAGGAGCATGAGGGTACTCCAGGAGGGATTTGGCCCATTGTTTCCAGACCCGCACAGATCCTGCCAGTGCATCCGTTTTCCCTGTGGGCTTTGAAACTTTCGCAGAAACAAGCTGCTGTTCAGCCAAGCCCTGTGGTGCTTCAGGAGAGCGCTCTGAATATTCCAGGCCTGGTTGTCTGGCGAGGGCCG